TACTACTACTACTACTACGACGATGCACTCCAACAAGGCAGGTCAAAGGACACGTGACGACGTGCAAAAACCTCGGTTGCATTGGATTTTCGTTTCGGATGCATTTGTTCGCCACGTCGTTGCTTGAATTGTGTACAGCTTGTTGGACAGCGCAAATGTTTCAGGCTTGGCATTGTTGTTGGTTTGTTGTTCGCGCGACAGGGTGAGGACATGCAAACAGAATGGTTTTCGAAAACTTTTGTGTCTGACTGTCGGGGCGTGCAGTCCGGCACAGAAGCAGCTTGAGATCCTCGAGCCGGCCTCGATGGCACCAGACTGCGAGTGGCTGAAGACGCAATTTTCCACAGAGGACATGTTGTTTTGCCCCCTTGGATCCCAGGACTCGGAGCTGCCAAAAAAGGTGACCAAGACCGGGCCCTGGCTGCACTGGGACCCGCGCCCTAAGAAATTGAACTTCATTGCCGGCGCTTGGTAGAGATGCTTGCCTTGGCCAGCACAGAGTGACGCATCCTGCGCATAGCGCCTCCGCAAAGCGTGCGCGGATGCAGGCAAGGGACCCATCCTCACGAAATCTATGTTGCTCACGTTGGCGAGTCCTTCCTGGAAGCAGCGAGTCCGTGCATGTCAGGTGACCAAGATACACTATCAGGATCTCTCAGAATCCGCAACCATCAGCCCCACACCCATCTGCCGTCTGATGATCCAGCGATGACAAGTTCGCCTGCAGCACACGAGCATTATTCGATCATCGTCTCAAACTGTTGGCGTACAAAAGGGCTCTGGATTTCGGCTTCGTGCAACTGCTAGACTTCATCTTGAGGCGTACCTCCATGGTCGGTATCTGCCTCTCCAGTACGCAGGACGACCTTGCACCGAACCATGAAGGAGTCACAGACATCGAATCCAGTCATCGAGGCTCGGTCGTTGGATCGACCGTCCAGGAGAGCAACGGCGGCAGCGAGCACTGGTCGAGGCCACTGGGTGTTTTCTGAGCTGCCTGGGCGTCCACAGCACAGGAGTCCAGGCAAAAACATCTTACGCCGAGGAGAATGGTCGAGGATCGAGGAGTCTACAGTCGAATCGTACAGTTCGAGAGGCTGAGTGCGCAAGGCCTACTTCCATGGTGTCCTCTCTTCCACACTTCATTGGCCAAGGATGGTGCTGTCCACTACACCTGCGAAGTGGCGGAATGTCAGGTTCGTGTCCAGGCTGAATGTCGTCGTATCTGCCACAGCCTCAGAAGGCGATCAGAGACCAAGCCACAGAGGCTGCAGCTTAGACCCACAAGGTGCCCACATCATAAACTGGCTTGCTGGCGATTTGGCGCACCTCCACAGCTCGGCTGCGCAGGCTTCTACAAAGTGCCAATCTAAACTGGCCTCGGTCTCCGTCGTCGCCGGAGGCTGAGGGAACTCCGTTGCCGAGATGGCAATCTGCACAGGGAGACAGTAGGGACTTGAGAGGTGAAGCTCTCTCTGGCAGGCCCAAAGCCTGGGATCCCATCGGCCAGTCACTTTGATTTCCGCGAAGCGTGAGTTCCGTTGCGCCTGCCAGCAGCCCGAAGCCGAATGCTAGCGAACCAAACCCTGCTGCCGACATCGATACTTCACTCGATTTGCGTTCCCTGGGCCTTCCGAAGCAATTGTAGCAAGTCGCGTCCACGCCTTCAAAAATCTCTCAGGAGCGAAGTCATCAAAACCCTGCTTGCCGCTGCCTGCCTACCTGCCTGACCCACCGGCAACCAGCATATTCATACATCACATGTGCATACGTTTGCATGCATACACAACTACATGCATACCGCGCACACACACACATTAACACATGTGCGTTTTTTGTACTATCTACAGACTCTTCCCTTGCCTACCCTGCCCTGCCCTGCAATACCCTAGCGCACTGCACCACACCAGTACATGACTGACATTACAGTACACAGCACTACATTACATGACAGCAGTTTACTTTGCAGTACGTCACATGACATTATAGTATACTGCAAGAGTGGTTGTTGCATGTGTCTGTGTGTGTATGTTTGTTGTTTGTATGCTTGTGGTACATTATAGATGTACATCCCTAGACACCAGAGCGAGTTAATGGATACACCAGCAAGCAGAAAAGACACGCGCGCACATTTCGACATGCATATACATATACATATACATAAACATATGCATATGCATGTACATATGTGTGCACATGTACATGCACATATACATGTACGAACTCATGTACATATCCATCTACATAGACATTTAGATACACACATACACACAAACACACCTACACACATACATACATACATACATACATACATACATACATACATACATACATACATACATACATACATATACACGCACTGTATGCACACACATACATACGCAAGGTGTGCAAGATGCGTACACGTACGTCAGGTGTACAAGTAAGCAAATGTACTTGTACACAAACATGCGTGTAATGTGCGTATGTACATATGCGGTGTATGCATGCATGCCAGCATGCATGCATGTATGCCTATACCTGCATGCACACCTGTGCACGTGAGTTCGTATGTACATGTTCTGTGTGAACAAAAACAAGTAAGCAAGGACATATACATGCATGCACGGATGCGTCTGTTATGCATCTGCGTATGTAAGTTCTTGTTCCTGCCTGCCTGCCTGGCTGTCGATCCGTCCGTCCGTCCGTTCGTCCATCTGTCTATCCTTCTGTCTCGGTCTGTCTGTCTGTCTGTCTGTCTGTCTGTCTGTCTGTCTATCTGTCTCTGCCTATCTGCAGGTCTTTAATGAACTGAAAGTAAAGTAATGCTTATGTACCGGGATATACTTATAAGAAGCATGCAAGCATGGATGGATGGATTGATGATGGTCTGATACATACCATCTTACGAGCCTGTCCTGTTCACTATGCAAGCTGGTGCAGGCGCGATATGGCACTGGTGACGTGCCTGGCTGTGGGTGCTCGGACTTCCAACCTGGGCAGCCAGGAGAAAAGCAAAACGAACGTCAATTGCATCAAACCACAAGCTGTCAGACTGTCGATAGATGGCTCCTTGAAACTAACGGAACAGGTTAGGGTTTGGACGGCAGAGAATTGACCAAGCACCGCGATGACCTTCGCTCCGGAGGTCACTATGCTAATTGCTTGTTCATCTCTCTCTGCCTTGTTGACCAAGAAAAGGCCCTCCACCATGATGACGGTGATCGACTGTTCCAGCAGCGACAGTTTCCAGCTATCTACTCGTATGAGCATCGGTGCGTGGCGCACTATCCCCGGTTGCAGCTGACATTGCATGCAGCCACCGGTCAGAGGAAACATCTTCTTTCGAAGTGGCTGGACTCCTGAACCACTTTGTAGAATCTGCCAGTCATCCTGCCTCTGCCTTCTTTTAACTGAATCACAAAAGAGCTTTGCCCCCACGAGACCTTCTGTGACGACTCGACAACCCATTTCGCCGACGCAGCTGTCCTATTTCCACCTGAAACGCCCTCTACCACAGCAGCCCCTTCCTTGCATTCGGCCGGCCTGCTCATCACCCCACAGAACTACCTCCGCTTTCACTCCAGGAGGTATGGGCTCTTCCTCGGCAAGCTAGCCATTAGATAGATAGATAGATGGATAGACGGGTAGATAGATAGATAGATAGATAGATCGATAGATCGATACATAGATAGATCAAGATAACACTTAATTATCTGGGAACGGCCAAATGTGAGAACTTTCACGTAACAGTGTTTTCCTTTCGCGGTTACTTTAGAGGAGCTTTCGCAGAGCTTATTTGCGGCCATATGTATACTTAATTATGTGTGAGTAGATATAGATATATACATACAGACTTACATACAATATAGCACGTGTACATATATACATACATACATGTGTATATATATATACAAACATATGTATATCTGTATACATGTCATATATGTATTCATAACTAATATCCAAACGCAGTATACATGCGGTATACATGCGGTATACATGCAGTATACATCCAGTATACACAAGTACATACGTTCATACATACAGGCTTGAAAACAAGCCATGATTTCCATCGCCGTGGTATCTGCGAGCAGCTTCCTGCATCCCTTCTAGAGCTGTTTCGGACTGTGGCGTCTCATGAGTTTCTGCATTTCTGTCTTTAAGTCCGGAACTCCCCTTCTGACAGAACTAGCGGCCTACTGCCTGCAAGTCACACTTGAGCTTTCGCGGAGTTGTTCGCGGCGCTTTCACGCAATCCACCTGAACTCAAAGTTACAAGCCATGGCCACTCACCACCACGACAACCCCTTCGGCTCTGCAGGTCCACTTTCGTGCACATTGCACCATATGAGCTTCCAACAGCCTTACAGATCGCACTCCAGGCCCATGTGACTTGAACGAGTCAATCCAAGTACGGAGGACTTGTTCAAGTTAGATGTTCGCCATGCAGAAGCTACGACGACAGGCCCGGAGTTTGAATCTGTCAGGGCTGGGGCTCAAACGATGCAAGGGTGCAGGAACTCAATCTCCGTAGGGTTTACAGTAAGGATGACGGCTTATAAGCTGTCATGGACACAACTAAAACAAACGACAGGCCGTAGGGCTCGCGTGCTTCTGTGTGAAACTCAGATGCGATTGGTAGGGCAGAACATAATTGCATCCTGTAGTATGTTATCGTGTGTTGATACAACTTTCGCGCACAACTGTTGTCCTTTCGCGCCTGCTTTAGCGGATCTTTCGCGGACTCTTTAAACCCTGTCACATTGCCGCTTTTGTATGAACCGTTGACACGGACCTTTAGAACGATAGATAGATAGATAGATAGATAGATAGATAGACAACTGATCGGAACTTTCGAGCAGTTTCACAGCTGAGTGTTTGCGCTTCTAGTTTGGGCACAAGGCATTCAGGGAATGCACGTACTTGTTGTGGTTGTGCTCCCGACAAAGCCATCAGGGTTCTGCCGGTGCTACTCGCACTACGTCACTTTCCGGTTCCAGGTTGATTGTGCACATGCGAATCGAAACCCGAGTGACCGTTTTTCTCGTCGAGAATGAGACACGTTCGTGGAGATGCTGGCCACAAGGCAACTGCCCAATCTGAAAGAAGCCACTCAGGAGGGTTCTGCTGTGCCCATTTCGAAGATGCCCCACACCTGAACCAAGAACTGTATAAAAGCACGACCTATCTGGTGGAGGTCGTGGGCGCATTAGTAGCCACAGCTGATCGCCATTACTTGCCTTGACCGAGTGAGCATGCAGGGTTGTGTTCACTGTGCGGTCGAACTCGAGACGCCCTTGAACATCAAGCCAATGCCTTGGCAGAATGTCAGCGATCCGGCATGTTTTCTGGTGTCAGCGCCCTTCCGAAAAGCTCCCGACAGCTTGGGCGTCTCGATGTCCAGCAGCACATTGTCGTCGGGTGGAAGAACGACATTGTCCTAAGAGCTGCTGATTTTCAAGGCGGTACTTGTGTGAACCCTGATGCGAGTGCTCGACCATTTCAGCAGGCAGCTTGCCATCGGGCCAGCCTTCCGGATCTGACCAACGCCTAAATGTCATGCCGTCATGTGGACTGCATGCTTCGCACGAGTTTGTCTGAGGTGGCAACCTGAGTGGCCGAAGTCCTGGAAGGGGATATCTTGCAGCAAGAACGTCTGGTGGGAAGTTCTGCTACAAGTATCCTCCAGGTCCCACAACGTTCGGTTGCGGGCAGCCGCTCTTCGGGCACTCCCGAGGGTAGAACTTGTTCCTGCGATATAAGGCTGCATCATCGAAAAGAGCGTTTGCATGAGAGCACTGGGAGTTATTGAAAGATGCAGACCTGAAGGAGCCGCCGGGCGTGCCCTCCTGGACCTGCAGAGCATAGGGCAAAATGGGCAGACTCCGAGTTTGGCTTATATCTGACTCGATCTACCAGCAGCGCTCGGGCCTTCATTGTAAAGACTGTCGTCAAGCGACCGTGCACCATGTCCACGGTGGGTTGGCTGTCAATCTCTGCCTTTCAGGTCTTACAACTCTCACTTGCCTGCGTGCAGAGATCTAGTTCAGCTGCGGGCGCTCCAACGTAGTGACACGTTCTCTGGCTACTGGCTACCAACACATCAGCAGAGGCAAGCCGCGAATCGGCATTTTCGTCCATGCACCGATCGGTCCTATAGAGGTGGTCTGTGAAGCCCACCGGTCTTTGTCAGCACCCTGTTCAAAGCATCCTGCACGTTCGTATCTCATTACCACTAGTCGAGCAGGGTTCTTCCAAAGCAGGCCGTCAAGTGGAGGCCTCCAAGCAGTTTACACGGCAGAATACGACTCAACCAAGGAAGTGCAAAAACCTGCCTCGATGAAACCAGATCAACGCTATGTCAAGTTTGCTTGCTCTGGCCATCGCTCCACATGTCAAGGGTTCGCTAGTAGTGTCAGCAACTCGGTATCCCCGGTATGCTGCGATGTCAGTTCTCAGCACCAGCCATCACAGCTGGTACTGTCTTAGGTTGGGTGCGAAATTCCGTATAGTGCACAGTAGATACATGTTGATATGAAGTGGAAACTCATGATACAGCATGAGTAGGACAGGTCATCCGAGGCACCTTGCTCTGCAACATTTAAGATACAGCGCAAGTCCCCTTCTAGATGCTTAGCCAACCGCCTTTGCGATTGCACTGCAGATTAGCTGCAGCTTCGCTGTGGCAGACGTCCCAGAGTGCATACAGTCCATAGGCTGCAATGGCTATCGCGGCATAAACCGCGTCTGAAACTGTCAAGCAAAAGGCTGTCATGAGTTTGCACTCCAGGCACCTGTTTGATGTCAAGTCTATGTGCATTTGGACAACTCTGCCTCATGGAAGCAGATCTTTACTACACTCTCTGTACACTTCTTCTGGTGGCTCTTTTAGCTACTCACTCGACGTCTTCATCAGATATTCACAATGAACCAATACAGCACAACCCGAAGCCACAGAAGGGCTTGCTTAGCGTTAATTGTGCACTGTGCAGGGTGTCGTTGCGCACACGTCGCAACATAGGTATTGTTGCGCATGCCAAGGGCCCACAACAAGACGCCAACGCAGCTTTTATTGCCACGGCCGCCTTGCATAAAAGGCAAAGCAAAAAGCAGCGAATTACGAACAGCCACGCCCCGGTGGCAGGGAATTGTCCAGTCAGCAAGGTCTGCTGTAGCGGGATAGCTGCCAGACAATCAACTTAAATCGGCGCTTGAAAATGGTACTGGGGCAGTCATGGCCAGGAGTCTCACATGCAAGCTTTCTATGACACCACGTAGTGAAGTGGGCTTGAACAGAAGCCATTTTTTCAGCCCAGCACCTCCGAAAACCTCTGGAACTTCCGGGAGGTGTCGGCACAGCTTCGCCGCTCCAACAAACGGCAGCAGAAGCGTGCACAGTCAAAATATTTATCTCTTAAATGTCCAGCCCCATCTGTGAGAGCCGTGGAGCAATGACAACAGCGCCGCCAGGATTTCCCACAACAGGTTTTCGCCTGCGGCATGTTTCCTTGCCTGTGGCTTTCTGGAAAGCGTCACATCACTTTGGTCCGGCCAAAGCGGAAAGCACTCGCCACTATCACCGCGCAGCCGAGGGTACAGGCCCACGGCATCGCAGCCTCAGGAAGAGGCCACAGCAAGTGGTGTGAGCGCAGCTACCCGTTTCCCTGACTGACTGCTTCCTGCAGTGGTCCATAGTAGCACTTTCTCCACGACCGTTGTCGTTGCTTATAGTCGGCTTAGAGGACCAAACTCATGCTGGCGTTGAAACCAGTAATGTTGTTCACAATCTCAACAGGAATCATTGACGCTGCAGTTGGTTCTTACTCTGGCCTCGTGTGAATCACTCACTGCAGCTCAACAAGGCCCTTGATCTTGGGTGCCCGCAGTGTGCCACACCTGCCTCTGTGCCTTCTCAACCGGCTTGACGATTTCCTCGCGTCGAAGAAGTGTGCGGAAGCTGCTTAGGAGCATTCACGGCGTGGTCGTGCTTCAAGTGTCATGGACTGTCCTGGAACTCCAATTGCGTGCTGGTGGTGCTGCGAGGGGTTGATGGAATCTCGGTCGATTGCGCGGCCTTGCCAAGCCCGGCCGACATGTGCTACGGAACGCGGAAGAAACAGCGATTCAGATGTCCGCCTCCACGGATCCTTCGGACGATCGCTGTGCGAGATGCACAGCCAAGTTACGCATGTTGAAGAGGTCCTGAAACACAAACAGAGTGTCCAGCTGAGGGCACAACCCTAGGCACCTGCTTGTGGAGCAGCTGTCTCACTTGTGGGAAGTCAATCCTCAACTGCGCAAGTGGACGCTGCTACACCAGTAAAAAACTTCGTTATATGTCTGGGGCCCAGACTGAGAGCCGATCTGCTTGGAGGCCTTTTGGCCTGCCAGCCGCACACCTACCTAGACCTACCTGGATTTCCAAACTTACGAAAGCTTGTGCCTTCCTCCGGCAGCGCACTGTACCAAGGTTGCCATGCCCTGGCAGGCGCCCAACAGTCCAGTCTCACAACAAGCTACCCATTCGAGACAATACTTCAATGTAGCAGTCCAGTGCATGGACTCTGCGCACACAGAAGTTGAAAAAGCCAGTTGCAATCAGACGCAGAGGAACGAGAAATGGAAAGGATGAGTCTAGGGCAACTGAAGTCAATCTCTGTGACAGTGTTGCCTACAAAAACTATCCATTGCAAGGCCTCTTCTGATTTTCCCGTCGCCAGAGTCGCCACATTGCATTCTCCAGGCGTTGTACATCCAAAACGCCTCCTCGCAAGGCCGGGACTGATGGCCAGCTCCGTGCGTATGTATATGTACACACACACACATATATATATATATATATATAGATGGTCATATATGTATATATATACACATACATACTCATAAAATGTGTATGTATGTCTGTCTGTCTGTCTGTCTGTCTGTCTGTATGTATGTATGTATGTATGTATGTGTACATATATATATATACATATGTAGTCTAGAGATGTCTATACATGTAGATTCAGATGTATGTGTATATACACATACAAGCAGCCCTCCCCAACCTGGCGGGTTTGGAAAGGTCACCGCTCTCTTCTCCAGGCTGCGCCTGGAAAGGTCAAGCCTATCCTCAAACCCTTGTTCATTCTTTGTAGTATGATGATTACTAGCATTACGGTTCTTTATCAGTAGTACTATAACTGGTATCCTGATTATAAGCAGCATCAGTATGATTCACAGTATGATCATTACTGTTATGGTCAGGATGAACGTATCTCTAACCTGCTCTCCATTCAATTGGGAGCCAGAGTCGGCTCACCGCAGCGTGTACCCGAAGCGAAGCCCAGGGCTCGCTTCAGTACTTGGAAGCTACGAGCTGCCGCGTTGGCACGCGGCTGTCGGCAGTGCACGAAGTGAAGAACACGAAACGGAACAGTCTTAAAGTGCGTGCGGTTGAGGTTTGCAAACAAACAAAAAGGGAATTCCTAAAAAACGACAAGCCTAAGAGTACAGCAAAGCCACGAAAAGCACAACCCCCCCCCCCCCACGAACCTCGAAGAGTCGAAAAGCGAAACAACAACGTGGACAGTTCCGGGACAGTTCGGTTTAGAGTTTGCGGCAAAGATGTAGTGATCAAGAGCGGCTACCCTTTGGCCGCATACTAGTCTGTCGGGGGATCGACACAAACCCTTGCAGTCTACAGGGCAACCTGCATCCACCCCATCATTCACAAACATATAGCATAGATTGACCAGCTTTGGTCCGGGGTGAGACACCAGTGACACTCATCTGCATCGTCAGGCCAAGGGCATACCCCACTAAGAGTTCACATGAGACAGCGGGAAGGCTGCTGTTTTGCTTCCTCCCAGCCTTATGATAGCGTGATCTGATTCAACGGTGCGCGTCCCTTGCAGCTGAGCTGTGGAGATCCTCCCCAACGTGTTGGCCGCTGCGCAGCATGTGCTAACTGTGGTGGACAGCGCCGTGCCGGGTAGAGGAGCTCAAGCAACTCTTTTGTTTCTAGCCTTCTGCAGGCTTAAGGGGCAAGAGCCCCTGTGCCGCACGCAACCTCAAGATCTAAATCTTTGATTCATTATCAGATGCACTCTTGCAACACCGGAGAGCATTCCTAAACATATTGCTGCTAAGCGTGCACCGAAGACACCGGAAAGTGAGTTTAAAGTGTGCTGCGGACGACGGAACTCCAGGATTGCCATGGCTACCATGAAGCAGGAGGAACAATAACCGCTGTGACAGCACCGAGCATCAAGTCGTCGGATCCCGGATCCCCAGATTCTCCGCCCATCGAGGTCGCGCTCAAGTGGCAAATGGCACAGTCTTTTGTCATCTGATCTTCCAAAAAACAAACCGCTAGAACTGCTGCACGGCCTCTTGCGGCTGATGGTTGGTCCACCCAGCGGCTCGGGTAGGCACAACGAAACCTGCTGCAGTTCTTCCACCAACTCTTCTGTGAGATGGCCAGCCGTCCCAGACCTCTCCACCGGAGTTGGACTTGGTGTTCGGGCCACGAAATTCAAGCTCCTGCCGAAAAAGTTCTCAAGTCCGAATCACTCGAAGCACTGTTGCGGTCACGGGCATACAAAGGTCCTTTCCAATTGCGGCTGCCGCCTTTCGCAAGCAGTCTTCGCTTGAGTCTTCAAAGGTCCTTTCGGTGAGGCAGTAGAGTTGGCTGCGCAGGAGATCATAGAAAGCCTGTCCTTTTGTCCTTCTGCTTGAGTCGCCAAACCTGTTTTTTAACAAAGACGGCAGGGCTGAACGCGTCTTCTGAACTGTCCCTGGTGCCAAGTCCCGTGCAGCATTCTCAAAGCGCCTCAAGTTCAGTTCCTCCTTCTGGTCAGCAAGAAGGCCTGGCAGAGAACAGAGTGTAACAGAACATCCAGCAACAGCTGGATGCTGACTAACATCACAGAAACAGTCTGCACATGACAAACAGCAAAGTTCACAGTGACAGAGTGTGACCCTGGCAATCTCTGTCCAACCAAGGGGCGAGAAGTCAGTGTTCATTGAAGTCATTGACAACTGTTCAATCACAATTTTTTGGGAGTTGCAACTTCACAACAGTGTTCCCCCCGTGTCAATAGCCTGTCCCAAGTCGGATGCGTCCGACTCGGCATTTGCAAATTTCTAGGAATCAAACGAACTGAATCAGCGCAGAACCAGAGCTTCCCACAAAAATACCCCCTGAGGCCTGGGGAGTCTTTGGAGGCTACGGATGCAGAGCCAAGGGAGACCTGCCTGGACCTGCGCGGTGCATCTGCAAGCAATGAACCCAAACTTGGCTGATGGCGACCCAAAACAGATAAACCAAGAGCCCAGCACGGTCTCGGGGGGACATTCGAAGGAAGCTCCTGTCCAATCCGGACAACGTCTCTATGCACCCTATAGGGGCACGATCTTTCCTTCCGCCCAACTTTTCTGTCCAACCACGCGCCTCCCACCCCCCTACAAGACCTGTCGTCTAGCTGCTGGTCAGCTAGTCTGCTATAGTCTAGCTTCTACTCGTGCAGCACATGGTGCTGACCATCTCGACGTACCTTCATGTCATCTTCATGCGGTCTTAGATGGTCTTAGCCGTAGCCAGCGCGACCTTTGGCAAACCTACACATCGATGCCGCACAGATCTTCACCACCTGCGAAGCCGTGAGAGAAACTCCCACGATCGTTGCATGTCGAAGCATCATGTCCATGTCGAAGCATCCGGAGCTCAGCTGGCTTGCACTGCGCCGAGAACACTTCTAAGGAAGTCAGAACCGTCATCCTTGTAGCGATGTGCCTCACAGAACAGACCAGATCCCTTGACAATTATTGGTGTTCGAAAGTAGCATGCACGAATGAGTGGTGATAGCCGGGTCGCTTCATTGGGAAGGGCTAGCTGCATGCGTGCAGCTGCGACGACCGCTGCCCACAACTGGCCCACTGTTGCTTTCGAGAAGCACTCGAGAGCCTCACCGCTTGACAGAAACCTTCGTGAGCCAGAAAGCTAGCACGTCTGTGAGCCGCACAAGCTAGCACATGTTAGAACTGCTCGAACTCCAGAAATCCCCACTCATCTCCGAGCGGCTCGAAAAGCACAGTGTCATCCCACGGATAATACTCAAGACCTTGTAGACCAGCCAAGCTTGCAGCCACCCACTGTACAAAAAGCTTCACCGCAGGAGATCCACCAAATGCACCGCACCCCCAGTTGCCAGTTGCGCAAACTTCTCGATCGGGAAAGGATAGCCTGGCTGCACCAAACCCACAAAGCGCTTTTCGCAGGTCTCGCATGGCATCCTCGACTTGGAACCTGACGAAAACGGCAATGCTTTGCATACCGCATGCGAGCTAAGCCAACTAAGCAAGCCAGGGAACAAATGGTCGTGCCGATAAGGTGCCCCGACACCAGCCCCATCATACATCCGTGCATCAATGACGATCTGAATCACATCTTTGGAAAACGCTGCCTCATCCTGTCGCACCGCTCCAAGGCACTGAAACGTATCCAGAAAGCCTGCATGACGAGAAAAACGTCTCGCACCACGCACAAGCAGCACTTCATCATCGCCAAGCGGCGACGAAGCTGAAAGGAGTGTTGCCAAGGATAGTTCCGGATGAGTTGCGAAAGTGATCTCTTCTTGGGCGGTGGCTCCAGGAGCATTCAAAAAAATGCCACCCCCAACGCTTGCATTCGCAAAGTCCACATGCATGAGCGCACTCGAGTCATAGATAGGAGTCCGCAGATTCTGCACGAAGCAGTGACACAAAGGAGCAGGGCTTGTCGTCAAATCCTCCGGCATGAGTCCCAAATCATCGCAACAACGTTTGATCCAAATTTCCCCCTTAGCATCTATCGATTCACCCACGTGGCGAAAGTACTGCAGGAAGCAGCGCAGCTTCTCTGTGTTCGGCGGGAAAGCACAACCATCTTTGGGAAAGTACAAAGGTGACATGCTTGTTGTACCCCCCTGATTCGGCAGCAGACCGAGGAACGCCAGAGCAAGAAGCGTCGCCGTCTCAGAGTAAGTAAAGGCAACCGTTGAAGGCCTGCCCTGCAACAGAATTGGTACTACTTTGTCTTTGAACTTGGGTGCCTCCTTGGCCAAGCCCACAATTCTGGGCAAAATTGAGCTGAAGAATTCTTCAGTCTCAGGAAGTTCATCCAAGACAGCCTCGAAGTCAGGCCTGCCGGCCCTGACGCAATGGAAGTTGGGATCTGCAGAGATCTGTTGCAGCGCCTCTCGAAGCTGGCTGGCACTTCCGGATGACTCAACGTGCGCCAGGCCAGCAGCAACCTCCGGCCACCGCTCCTTAAAGAAAGCGTCGTCAAACAGGAGGTCAGTCATCGGAATCCCCGTCGCAGGGCGGGTGGTCGAACTGATGCTTGAGAGAAGATCTTGCGGCAACACTACACACAGAAAAAGAGGTCATGCGAGTCACCAGACCAGTCCTCCAGAAGTGATGGATCGTTCAAGAGGACGTCTGGCTGCCTGTTGATGTCACACACAAAATGGTCCTTCACACTCAAGCAGCCAATTGTCTTCTTCGCCTGTCCTTTTCATCTACCACTCCGTGAAATCCACGCAATGCATGGCAATGCACTTTGAATCGACAGAACACAGGCTGCCACACTCCCTCTCCCTCTCCCTCTCCCTCTCCCCCTCCCTCTCTCCCTCCCTCCCTCCC